GGCTCCGGGATTGGCTGCCATTTTTGAGTACTTGGTTGAGCCCTCATTCCAGCCCCCGATCGATATCAAGGCCTTCATGTTTTTATTCACGTCCCGCAAGTGCTCAATGCGCCGATACATGCCTTATATAAAGTATTAAACATTTTATCATAATTTATACAAGTATTTATTTTAAAAATGTAAAAATGTTCAATTATAAATGACATACCTCGGCCCCATGGTAAGCCACTTCTATAATCGGTGTCACCAAGGTCCAAATCGGGTTCAAACACAGCGATTTCGTTGTTTGCGCCCAATTTAGCGAAACCGTACATCAGATGAGTGCACAGCAGAGGGTTTGACATTTCCGGCTCAAACTGGGAGTGATATATAAATTGTTATAAATTATATTATCTTAGATGATATATTAAATACAAATTACCTTTCCGTTTGATTGCCTGTAAAATGACCATGAACCCCAATAACAAACCACGTTGTAATTTGCATTGTCCGTCTCTGATTAATAAATAAAAACAATTAAATAAAATTAACAAATTATTAAATTGAATGAATTAATTAATATTAATAAACATGCTTATATATTACCATTAACTGGTGCGGCACTAATGACAGCCACTAAGGCAGCAATAATACTCAAAACTCTCAACATGGTTTTGCTATTATTGTGTTTCGACCAAGGACAGTATTTTTTGTTAAAGTGATTTTTACCAAAATGACTTTGTTTATATACTTACAGTTTGGAGTTTCACAATGTGAACATAATGAAATCAATTTGTTTTAAGATAACCAAGTTAATCACCGCACTTGAACAGGTTTAATTACTAAATATAACTTATAATGTGCAATATTGTACTAATGATAATAATTCACATGATGGCACCAAGCTACCCTGGTATGTCTAATCAATATAATCTAATGAAATAAATATAATTGTCACCGAGATTTTTTTAATAAAACAATGATATAATGTACCAATCAATTATGACTGTGTAAACATTTATTTCTAAATACTGTGGGTTTAATAATAAATAATCTAATTATTGATTATATAATAACTTAAGTGTTTAATCCGGAATTAATTAAGGATTTACATTACAAGTGTTTACCACAAGTGTTGGTGATAAAATCAAAATAGACCTTAGAGTTTATTAGAGTAATATTAATAATAGTATATTCATGTATAACACTGTGTATTATTGTGAGTTACAAAATAAAAAGTATTTACACATAACAAAATTTTTAATATATTGATAAAATAGTAGATTTAAAAATCTATTTGATCAGGCATACATATACAATATAATTTATATCTATGTATTTACAATAATCATACTTGATATAAGTGAATATGATCAGTTTTTTCATTCTATAATCTTTATTGAGATAACCGACAGACAATTGTCTATTGAATAGACTAACAATGCATTGCATTTTGGTAAGTAAAGAGTGTGGTAAAAAATAAACAATAAAGCTCATTTGAGTCGAGATATACAGTACAATGTACAATACGTTAAGTTATGTTATATATTTAGTTGTAGAAATATAAAATGTTATAGATTTAAAAGATACTAATTAAAATTTGTTAACATTTAAATCACTAAAATTTTATTGCGAATTTGCGAATAGTTTACTTTTGCTTTTAGTATAAATTAAAATTATCAAAATTAAATACCATAAATAATAATTAAATAATTTTATTACAAACAATTAAACAATGTTGAATTTTAAAACAGATTAAACATTTTAATATTATCCTATATTATTACACAACGTTGTAATCAATTCATTGGTGGTGCGACAGTAGTTGTGTGTGGAATGTGAACCTCGTGTATAACGGGATCGGGAGTACCGGTAATACCGTTGAGTTCACGACTGATAGTCTTAATCAACGGGTGTTTAAGTGGACCGCAATAGCCGTGAAAGTCGTCGGTGTCTATCGACCAGACCATAGCTCCGCCCAAACCCTTGCCCTTCAGGTACGAGAGCTTATCCTGAAATGTCTGCTCGTCGTCATAACCCACCCATTGGTTACCCTTCACGGCGTACACTATCTTTTGGGTCGAGTCCCGATAGGCTGTCCACCCGGCCTTCAAATACTCGCAAACCTGTCCAAGTTTGTAAAGTAGAATGTTATTAATAATCTAGTGAAATTATTGCACAATAAACTCACCTCGTTATAGCCCAACATTCCCGCTTGGTTAGTGTACGGGCCAATGTCGCCCCCTTTGCCAACAGCGGGGGCGCCCAAACCGTGATTGTTTGGATCGGCCAGGGTGAATGAGCGGCCATAGGTAGCAAAGCCCATGTTCTAGATTAATAAATCACATAATTGATTTTTACTACAACTATTATTATGCCTAATTGATAGATACTGACCAACTTTTTGGGACTTAAGCCCAGTTTCAACCAATACTCGACTCCGTACGAAACAGTTAGAGTTTTTTGTTTTTCATCGGCTTTAGGGTCGGCATACAGGGGCGCGTTGTGGCCTTCAATTATTACATGTGTCAGTTAAAAATATAGTATATTTACATTAAAATAAACATTAATCAAATTTACCAGTAATATTTTCAAAAGAGCCGCCGTGAAAATCATAAGACATTATATTGACAAAGTCTAACAATTGATCAAGTTGTTTTACATCGTAGGCCACATCGATAGTGGCTTTGCCGGCACTGACCGCCGCAGTCAACAGATAGTTATGCGGTTTGAGTGCCGCCCGGAGTTCGCGCAATAACTCTACGTAATTCTGTTTGTCTTTCGGGTCGCCGGGTGTTCGGTCGATATCGGGTCCCGTCTCGGCCGCGAAGCCCGGGTACTCCCTATTAAATCATATTTATAATTATTTATTTTAGTTAATAAATTATTATAATTAATTTGAGGCATTGTACATACCAGTCCACATCCAGGCCATCAAACTTATACTCTTTCAAAAACTTGACCACAGAGTTGACAAACTGTGCCCTCGAGGCTGCGTTGGCGGCCATTTTTGAGTACTTGTTTGAGCCCTCATTCCAGCCCCCGATCGATATCAACACTTTTAGGTCGGGGTTCACGTCACGCAAGTGCTCAGTGCGCCGATAAAAGCCTTTAAATTAATACATCCGTTAGAATATGTAACATAATTTTTGCAGCTAGACCAAACTTTGCGTGATTTATAATTGACATACCTCGACCCCATACGGGGCTACTTTGCCAATCGGTGTCACCAAGGTCCAAACCCTCTTCATAAACGGCGATCTCGTTGTTATCGCCGAGTTTAGCGAAACCGTACATCATATGAGTGCATAACAATGGGTTTGCCATTTCCGGCTCAAACTGTATACATAAAGGTAAAAAATCATGTTATAAATTAGTCAATTAATTATATCAAATTATATGAACTGACCCTGCCACGAGCTTGATGCATGTCTCGGTAATACGCCCATGAGCCAAAATAACAGACAACTCTGTACGGAGTGTTATTTGTTTCTGTTTAGATTAAATTAATAAAGTAAGTTTATTAATTGTTATTTTACAAATAGCAAATTTAACATGATTGTAAATTACCATTTAGTGGCGCTGCGCTAATGACACCAATTAAGGCAGCGATAATACTCAAAACGTTCAACATTGTTTTAATTTAAAATGTTGTTTCAAGTAAACAATAACACAATTATTATTCATCTAGTCTAGTTGCCGTGTTTATATACTTTTTACAAAATGCATACAGTATAAGTGTATCAATTTATCAAGATCGATTATATTACATTTACAAAACAAACTATTAATAATTTTCCTAATAATTGGTGATCCGGTAATTCTTTATTAATCCGGTATTAGGCCATGGCTTTGCAATTACAAGTGTTTACCATGAGTGTTTGCAGATAATGTATTAATTGAACCTAAAGTTTTACTTCAAACTATTAGCTAATTATTATTAGTTGTCAACTTGTTAATCCTGTTCAGATAAGAAAATAAACTATCAACTTTTCTAGGAAACTTAACTATAACAGTATATTAGTTTATAAGTTTAGTGCATTTGATTTCATCAAGGTGTCTAAGATGTAATTTATTCTATTTGTTTTAAATAACTATAATATAATAATAATTATTAAATATTATTATTTTAAAAGAAAAAATATATTATTTAATATTTAAAAATTAAATTATATTTATTAAATTTAAAATTTATGTTTTACATCGAATATTGTTGGCATGTAATTTATTGCGACAAGCTCATTTGTATAATTAAATTTTTGACAAGTTTGCTATTAAAATATTTATAACATTTAAAAATAATTTTATTTAAAAAACTTATTGCATTGAGTTTAAAACTTAATAAAGTATACTGCGACAACATGGTTAAAACCTTTACCCCAGTCAACCCCTGTCCACTCGTTTATCATTATCACATTAATATAACAGGCTAATTATGTTGTCAAAAATCAAACAGGTCAATTAAATTTGTAATTTATTTAATATGTGTAAATTAATTGTCGTATTATAATAAATAACATTGAGATTCATATATAATATAAATTCAATTATATTTTATATTTTGTTGCAAACAATAACAAGTAATAGATGTCACTAAATATTACTGTAATTATTAATATAATAATAACAATTTTATCATTATAGATTATATAGTTAACAATATTGAATTAATAAAACTAATGTATTAACTAATAATTATAATAATAAACATGGTAATTATTAATATTACTGTCAACTCCCACCCCTTGCCCACAAAAAAAAAATAACACGGGCGAAAATAAAAAACATTAATCACCATAGTTGCATTTAAAACGTGTGCATTCAAAATTGCATATTCAGATCGGCGTATGAGATGTACATGTTGGTTAATTAATTAAATAGACCCTGATTACAAACTATAACCTAGGGCAAACAGTCCCAGAGTATTTGCCGGGTGGGCTCGTTCAGCGAATCGGGAAACTTGATATCAAACGTGACCACAATATCGCCCCGTTTGGCGGTGTCCTTGGCGTGGGGCAGCCCGTGGCCG